TCAACCTTTGAAATAGGTCAGTTGATTTCTACTCATCCTGTCACTCCTCACTGAGAGCAGGAATGCACACTTTCTTAACACAAACGCAAAGATATGTGACTCTGCTCTAGCTCTTAGCTTTGCAGCTTTTAGCACAAGTGAGATTCTGCTGCATCTCATTCAAGTTTTAGCATGGAGATAAAATAGAAAACTGTCATACTAGAAAGCATTAAGGTCTAAATAATAGTGACACTCGGTGGCTGGATGGCCTTTTCAGTCATTTCTTATACAACTAACAAAACTAAAGATATAAAAAGAGTATGTTCCATAATGCTTTTTAAAAGAGTTGTAAAAGATGGTATTTAATTTGGTAGCTACATAGTGCCTTTTGATACTATGAGAGCTAGTCTCCATGGAGGAGGCTTCCAAAGTTTCAGGTCGGTTGCTCAAAGTCCTGTGATTCAAGTATATCACAACTCAGTACATTATATATGTATATATGTATATTTAGAAATGTATGTGTGCATATGTAACAATAATAATCAAAGAAGAGGATAAGAATTTGAGGGGGAGTTGTGGGGGGATCTGAGAGGACTTGGAGGGGGATTGGGAGGTATGAAAATGATGTAGAAACAAAATTCAGATATTAAATTCTCAAAAAAAGGAAAAGTTTTTTTAATTTTACTTATTTTTATTTTATGTGTATGAGTCTATTGCCTGCCTGTGAGTGCAGCCCTGTGGTACAATGCGGCAGAGGTCAGAAGAGGGCTTTGGATTCCTCTAGAATTGGAGTTAAGGATGGTTCGAAGCCACCATGTGAGTGCTGGGACTCAAACCTGGGTCCTCTACAAGAGCAGTCAGTGTTCTTAACCGCTGAGCCATCTCTCCAGACCCAGGAAAAGTTATTTTATAAAAAGGTTGTTTGAAATGTTCTGTATGAAATACACAAAAAGTCAATAAAAACTATTTTTTAAAAAGGACAGAAAATCTGGGTGTGGTGGTGCATGCCTTTAATCCCAGCACTCAGGAGGCAGAGGCAGGCAGATCTCTGTGAGTTCAAGGCCAGCCTGGTCTACATAGTGAGTTCTAGGACAGCTGGGGCTACAGGGAGACCCCGTCTCAAAAAGACCAAAAATAAAGGACAAAAAATTCTAGTGTATTTGAAAAGTGAAACATTATGGAAAAATAGTAATAATCCAGACCTCTGTGACCCAAATATGAGGTTTTTTTCATTGAATTTAAAACTGCTAGTTCCTGAGAGGAAACAAACTCAGTTTGAGGAATGCCATAAAATGTTTTAATATTATAACTCACAGTACCTATTCACAAGATCAAAAAAATACAAACATAATATATGAATAAGTCAACATTATAATATCATATAAGGCAAGAACTAGAGTCATTTTTAGCCATGTTGCTTCTAGATATATGGTTTATACTAATTTATTTTTTCACATTTCTATTAAAAATGCATTTTTCCTTCAATTACATTTACTCTATTAGGAAAAGCAATATAATTATTTCACTTTAAAATGCAATAATCCTATTATTTCATTTGTCAATATCTCTCTTAGAAATGAAAAAAGAATACAAATTTGGATCATAATGACTAATACTTTTAATGATCCCAGAGTTTCTTCCTTATTGGCTTTACCACCTATTCCTCTCTCACGAAGACTTCCTGCTTACTACTCTGTCTCACATCAGATCCTAGGAAGCTTCCTAGAAACATGTGGCCCCTCCAATGCATGAAATGACACCCTTGGTCTACAAGGTGGAGCTAAGAACAGAAGTTCAAAGGGAAAAAAAATCTTTTTTAAATTTATTTTTAAGTTTTTTTAATGTGTATTAGTATTAAAATGCATGTATGTAGGTAGAACCATAGGAGAAGGGTATTATTAAGGGAGAAAGGGGGAAAACAGGGGCACCTTAATTGGGGAAACCATGATGGAGCAGTGAGACAATGCAAGAGATAAACAATGCCTAGCTAGTTTTAAAAACCAGAGTGAGCCATATTACTCCAACACCCTACTGACAAATTATATATAGCAGATCAAGAAATTTATGTCTAGGTAAGGTTTATCTGAGAACAATTGGTCTTTGCCCAATATTTATCT